CTCTTTTCCTTGATATATTGTTTCCTGATGTTCTGAATGCTAAAATCAATTCTCCAGTGTGGGGTTTTATCAGATGGCAAAGATTGCTGTAACTCCATCAATTGTACTGGCAGAGTTTATATTATATGGAAAGAAAGTTTCTTACTCCAAGGTAAACCAAACTCCTTCCACATATATGTACTAAAAGTTTTATATACCCTCTCTAATGTTATTATGACCTGCTTATTACAGTATCATAAACTAGTAAGGTAAAATTTGGGTCTGCCATACATTTGAAGTGGAAAATCCCTTTAATGGAATTTAACAAAGATTAGTATCTAACTTTTCGAATCTATGGTCTTGGAGCATGGCGTCCTTGTCTTTTTTGTTCTCCGAGCATAAGAATAAAAACGTTCAATGCCATCTCAAAACTGTATTTATATTGAACTCCTGGTTGAGTTACACTTACATCCTGATGGTTCAATGTCCACTCGTTCAAATACTACTCTTGAAAAGATATCCAAAAATGACTAAAAAAGGCAATTCTTTTCTTTGGTGAGACGTCTACGATGCTGTAGTTGAGAAAATGTGAGGTTAGCAGATAGGCAAAAGAAATATATTTTTGAAGTACCATACTTGAGAAGATCGAACTGTGTTAGAAATTTCTTCTAACAATTTTTTTTTTAATGGAGAAACTTTTAAATCAGTAGATGAGGCATAGATCCGTATAATATTTTTGAAATTTATGTCTTCCTGGGTCACTGGCATTTAATCAAACCCTGACTAAGCCATTAAGCTTTATTCTTAATTCTGATGAATCTTCTCTCTGTGGCCAAGGTCCTAGCCCTTGTAGTGGTATCTATTGGTATTGCTGTGGCTACGGTAACTGATCTGCAGTTTGATCTCTTTGGTGCTTGTATCGCATTGGCATGGATTATTCCTAGTGCAGTTAATAAGATTCTTTGGTCCAGTCTGCAACAGCAGGAGAATTGGACAGCCATGGCGTATGTCAAATACTCATCCTGCATTTTATCCTTTTTCTTTTTTCATGTTATATGCCAACGAGGGATTGAATCTGAACTTGAAATTTTGTCATAGGTTAATGTGGAAGACGACACCGATTACATTATGCGGTTTCATTGCTTTAATACCTTTCTTAGACCCGCCTGGTTTTTTATCTTTCAATTGGAGCTACTATAATACTCTGGCTATTCTGCTGTCAGCAATTCTGGGATTCTTGCTTCAGTGGTCTGGTGCCTTAGCCCTCGGGTATGTGAACTCTCATGCTGATATTCTCAGCTTTTCGTTAAGCAACATGTTCGGTCTTATATATGCTATTAGATGCACTGTCTGTGATAAGGGGCAAAATGTTCAATCAAGTTTGTTTGCATGTTTTTTCTTTTATTAACTAAATTGTGTATTGTTGTGTAATAACAACCTAACCGGCAAGGTGTAATTCAAGAAGCCTCTCCTTCTGGATTCAATTGAACTTCGAATATGATCAGAAGCTTGTCAATCATTGGATTATGGAAATTCAACGCTATGTGATGGTTTTTAGTTTTTTACTTGTGTATCACTCTGTTACTTTGGCGACTGAAAGGAAGTCGTTTCTTTCACTTTCTCTTACCCCCAGTTTCTTAGCACACATCCCATCTCTACCGTAAGGCTAGTAAAATCTTGTTTCGTTTCATGCATCATTTAGGATTTATCATATGATAAGAAGGTTCGTGACTGTATCATGCATAAAACTAACAGCTTCCACGGTATCTTAAATTAGTGCGTCATCTGTCATGTTTAGGTAAAAAGTTAGGCCAGTTCTGTGTTATTGTAGGCCATTCTCCACGCTGTTTTCAGCGATAAATAAATTATCATTGATGAAATGAAATATAGATGGCCAGAGCATGCAAGATACAAAGCCAAAGGAGTTATGAACAGCCAAAATGTGCTAAGAAAACGAACGCCTCTGTGAGATCCCACATTGGTTGGAGAGGGGAACGAAGCATTCCTTATAAGGGTGTGAAAACCTCTCCCTAGCAGACGTGTTTTAAGACCTTAAGGGGAAGCCCAAAAGGGAAAGCCCAAAGAAGATAATATCTGTTAACAGTAGGCTTGAGTTGTTACAAATGATATCAGAGTTAGTCACCGGGCCCAGTGAGGACACTGGCCCCCAAGAGGAGTGGATTATGAGATCTCACATTGGTTGGAGAGGAGAACGAAACATTTCTTATAAGGGTGTGAAACCTCTCCTTAGCAGACACGTCTTAAAACCTTGAGGGAAATCCCTTGAAGGGAAATCCCAAATGTGCTAGCAGTAAACTGGTTGTTATAATCTTGTATCTGGAGGCCAACTACTTAAACGGCCAATACTTAAACGGCCAACTACTTAAACGCTCAGATTAAAATTCGATTGAAGGCCTTTTGTTTAGGCTGGAACTATAGATCCAGTATCATCATAGATTGGTTTCCATGTCTCTGAGGTTCAGATTACCCAAGTCGGCTTTATGATCTTTGATTATCCCCAAAATTTTCTCTGAGATGTGGTTAGTTTGTTCGTCTTGTAATCAAAACACGAATATTAATTTGTTTGAAAGGATTGATACGCCAAGATGAAGTACTGGTTATATGAGGAACTCTAAAACTCTCTTTGTGTAAGTTATTGCACATCTCTTCCATTTTGAATATCTGTTATTCGTCTTAACTCATAGCTTAAATTTGATGCATTGGATATATGGATAGCTGAACACACCCAAATTTCAGTACTTTGAGGTATAAATACATGACCTGCTTCTATTAATGTCTAGTTTTTCTGAATTCAACAGGGCTACCTCTGCCGTCAGCCATGTTGTACTCGGACAGTTCAAAACATGCGTGATTCTTCTCGGGAATTACTACCTGTTTAATGCCGATCCTGGCAAAACTAGTTTATATGGCGCATTCACAGCTATAATGGGCATGTCTGCTTATACCTACCTTAACTTGAGACAACAGCAACAGACCAAAACATCTAAACAACAAGCCTCCTCTTTTCCTAAATCTAAGCTTAGCAAGGAAAATGGAAGCACCAATGACGAGAAGTTAGGGGAGGAGTCTGTTTGAGCTAAGAAGTTAAGGATATCTGTTCATACTTCGCCGGCGTTTCATTCATTCGTTTTCTATGCTAACCCTTTCATTTCTTTGCAGTTATAGATTAGGGAGATATCCATGTTAATATATGAGTGCACTACTCGATTTTTGATTGCTTAGAGAAAAGCCCCCCCCTTTTTTTTTTTTTTTTTTTT